CGCGCATGTGCAAGTGTGCGCTTGAGCGCTGTCTGTCTCTGTCTCTCTCTCTATATATATACACATATATGTATATATATATAAAACTAAACAGAAAAACTGCATACAAAACCAGAGAAAAGATGGGTGGTCCTAGCTCCCAGACACTTGCCACAGAACAGACATATGCATAAGGCATGTTAGGCCTCACCTGCTTGGAGAGATTAAAGGATGCTGCTGGCTGCCATCAAGTGTTGTCATTGCAGCGGAATGGTTTGGTTGTACTAAAAGGTTTAATTCAATAGCATTTTACAAATTTTGACTTCAGCACTTTATTCTCGATATGTGTAGATGAGGTATTTAGCAGAATAAGACTCAATAGCTTTAAAAAATGAAATAAATTATTTAACTTTTTTGGGGGGAGGATTTTATTTTCTCATGGTACGAGCAATACATATTGAAAAGTATAAAGAAGCAGGAAAAAAAATAAGCCGCCCTCCCGCTGGCTGGGCCATCGCTGGGTGGTTTATACAGTAGGAGATGCCTTAGGACCACTTACTTGTCGCTCCCCGCAACGACTAAATGTCTGTGTTGATGGGATAATCTCCATTTTTAAATGTGTGATATTACAATGAGACCTAGATTTCTGAATAGTGATCAACTAGATGCCAATTAGGATCTCCCATTTCCAACAGTGTTATTTTTATTCTAGTCATTTTGTTCCGTTCACTAATTTGAGTTCTGTTTGATACCTGTTAAGGCAATAAATGCTGCCCTGTAAATTATGTAATCTGACTCTGTATGAGCTGTAAGAACTGATAATATCATGGGTCTTAGACCCTTTCACAACGCATATGAAATCTAATAATTTCATGACATTTAAACAAGATGTTATGAAATTCTCTACCTGCTGTAGATTGGCTGTGATCGTAGTCAGAGCCTCGTGGACATCTGCAGAGAGAGGCGGTATCAGGCCGTGGTCTGCGACGCGCTGGCAGTGCCAGTCCGCAGCGGGTCTTGTGATGCCTGCATCTCCATCGCTGTCATTCACCATTTTGCGACAGCAGTAAGTATGGTCTTTCTCACTCCAAGAACCAAGTGGCAGGATATGTTCATGGAGTTTACTGATTTGGACCCTATTTTAGCTTTTCCTTTCTTTCCATTTTCTTGTTGTCATGCAGTTTACCCCCATTTTTTAAAGAAAGCCTGTGGAATGGAGATGAGCCACACGAGAGTCGTGCTTACTTGACCAGAGGTCTGACGAGACTCTGTGCTTTTATTGCTGCATGTTTCTGCCTTTTTCCTA